GGTTTCTGCCCTACTGGAGGAGTAGGATATGTGCATAAAAATGTGTTCAAGTTACCTCAACAAACAGTCCCAAGAAATCAGGTGTCAAGACAGGGAAGGAGCACCTTAAGCAGCGAGGCACATCAAATGGGGTTGAGTGGGGAGGTACCGAGGGTACAGCTCTAAGAAGGGGTACCCTCCTTTAAAAAAGAAAAGGGAACTAGAGAAAATTGAAACCGAGGGATCGAAAAAGGAAAGTGACCACTCCCTGGAAGTTCCTATCACTAGTAATGATTTGATCCCCCTCCTGCTTTTGCTTTTTTTCTTCAAAAAGGGAGGTTTACAGTTTCTTTTAATAAGGCACTAAATAGACTTGTCACATAAAGGAAAGATACATTTTAAAGAAAACCTCTATAAACTCATTGACTTTGTACCTTTCATAGGAAGTTAGATTTAGTTGTTCCGTTGAGTACTTTTATTTATTTATTTATTTTTAAAAAATCTGTAAATTGTAGGTGTTTGTAAAGCTATTGTCAAAGAGCTATGGAGAGGAGGTTGCGGTGCTGTAAAAAAAGTTTCAGGAACTTATCACTAGGCAAAAAAAAAAAAAGGCAAAAAAGTTCATTTTAAAACGGTGAAAACTTCAAGTTCATCTCTTTATTTTTGTCATTATCATCCTCTTTAATATATATATAAATAGCATCCCCAAGAGTTAGAACTTTAAAAACTGCTGTCAGGCTGGTTTCTGGAGTTGGTGATTTTTATTTATTATCTTCTTCAAGTAATATAAAAGCCGCATAAAAACAAGAGTTATTGCCATTATATCTTTCATTTATGTTACCTTACTAATTAGCATCTGGCAGCAAGCAGTTACAATTTGTTGTAAAAAATTTAAAAAATAAAATAAATGGTCACTTGGTACAGTTCCCTCCATTTATAATTCCTCTCTCCCTGTGGGATTCTTGCATTCCCCTAGCAAGTGGAACTGTGCAGCCATAAAAGTTGCCAACTTTTCAACCAGCTGTAGTAGCTGTGCCTTTACCAGCAGTTCAAGACACAAGACCAAAAGAGAGTCTTGTACCAAAGGTGCTTCTGGGCCAACATCCTGCTTCTTACAGGGACAAAGCATTTTGCCTTCAAGAACTCAAAAGCGGGACAATAAAGACATTAATTCTCACCCACCCTTGACCCCACATCAACAGACAAACCTTTCCAATGTGATTTTCACAGACATGGCATGCAGCCTTCAGCAGGTTACTCTGTTTATAGACTGTTGTGTACATTCTGCTTGCAGTGTTCATTAATATTAAAAGCAGAAGAACAGGATGATTCTAGCGAGCTGGCAATCTTTTCAACTAAGCACACAATAGAGAGAACAAGGGTTTAATTCCCTTATACATTTTTTTAAAAAAATTCCTCTTCGTAATTTATGCCTTTCGCTCACTTGCACTGTCACATACAAATTCACCAAGAAGACCTCAAAAGCAACTGATCAGACCTTTTATACAGTATTTTTTAAAAATGTAAACAATAACGTTGTAAGACACAAATGTTTGATGAGGTGAGACAGAGAGAAAAAAAAACACTTAAATAAAAATGGCATGCAGTGATTTGTTTGAAGGAGGATTAGGGAGCAAACCTCAGACACAGAAGGATGCTGTGTTGGTAATAAGTTAACAAGTGGGGGCTGGCTTTCAGAAGAGGCAAAAAAGGCTTGGTTCTAAAGCATTAAGGGCAACTCTTTAGCCTTGTAATATCTTGTAGGAATGGATGTGCTTCTATCTCATGTCCCCCTTCTGCTGTTAACAAGGAGCAGTCCAGAAAGTGAACAACTCAAGAAAGGTGCTTTTGGGAACCCTCCGGCCAATGGCTACTGGCTGTGCTTATGGCAGGATTCTAGGAGCCGTAGTACAACACTTTAAATTAAATCCCATTTCTAATGTCTGAGAAAGTGGTAATTTAGAAGGAAATGACAGTTAGGTGATGACTACACCACCCATACGGTTGGATTGAATCCCAGGATTACCCACCCAGGTGGTTCACCAGTTAGGTGATGACCACACCACCCCAGTATAAGAAAACCATACGGTTGGATCAAATCCCAGGATTACCCACCCAGGTGGTTCAATCGGTCTGCAAATACTTTTCTGCCCTAGTTCCTAGGGCTGTGTCCAGATGTTGTTCAGCTATGACTCTCAGCATCCCCAATCATCATAGTGAAGGCATCGTGGGAGTTGTAGTTCAACATCTGAGGACTCACTTTTGGGAAAGGCTGCCGTAGCTGACAAATCTCTTCCTCTCTTTGGTTTCCCTGTCTACTGAGAGCTGCAAGGTGGGTTGGTGGGGAGAGAGGGGCTTGCTGCCAGCAGCTCATGGCTAAGAGGTATTTAACTAGGACAAAATTTTCAGGTCCAGAATATGGGCCACGAAGGACTGGGTTTTCTGTCTTCAGTGGCAACAGGGATTCTTTAAAGAAATCTGGTCAACTTTCATTTACGTATGAAGCTTATTTAAAACTTTGCAGAAAGCAGATGCACCTAGCCAGGTTTCGTTGACTGTATTTTGAACGGTGATCTTATCAGGCAGGTTTATGGAATTTGGAATCTCAGCTTCCCCCTCTTTTATTATCTCAAGGGATGGCCAAATTAGCTTGATATTAAAAAGAAGAAGAAGAGGATAATTTGAAGCCATCACTCAGTCATTAAAAAGAGGGCAATTTAATGACTGCTTCTGGTTTTATGGTCCACTGGAAAAATCAGTGAAACAATTGAATAGGAGGGTTTTGTCTAGCTTGCTGCTAAAGAGCTTTATCCTGTAAAGCTCCACTAAGCAACACATCAAGGGGGCCACAGGACACAGAATTCTGATCAATGAGGAGTTTCTTCATTCGTCCCAATTTTGAGGGTAGTTCCTAGGGCACAGCTCAGAAAGTTACAACTCACTGCTGTGACCAGTCCAGTTTTGTTCCCAAGGGGTATTTTGTTTCAATTTTTGGCTACTGTTTTGTTCTTTTAAAAAAACCATCTAAAAAAGAAGAAAGCAGATGTGGGGAGGGGGAACACTGCTTTAAAAAGGGTGTGTTTAGCTCTCCCTACCCACAAAGAGCAAGAAAAAGTAATGAGGAAACATTCTTCATTACATGGAGAAAATGGCAAATGCTACCCATGTTCTAGCATTATTATAGTATTGGTAACATATTCCAAATCTTTACCACCAAGAGTAACATGCCACAGCTATTGTAGTAACCTATTCCCCCCCCCTCCACGTTATGGGTAGGAGGGCCCATTTACAGAGATGTCCCCAGCGCAAAAACTAAAGGGAAACGGCTTTGCTTCAGAACCAGAACTATCTAATTTTGCACCCAAAGCAAGTAATGCAAAATTGTTGCCCTTTGCTCATCACTGTTCTTTGAAAAGACCAGAGAGTGTTGGGGAGCAGCATGAAACTTTGATCATGCATGATACTGCACAAAGTTCAAAATTTACCAAAAAAAAAAAAAAAAAAAAAAAAAAAGGATTCTCAGGAGTGGTTAGTTGTCCTCTCCCTGGATAAGCTTTGCCCCTTTCTATTCATGAAAAGCAACAAGTTCCTAATCGGTCACAGGATCTACACATGATCAAGACCTCTGGGAAATACAGGCAGGGATGCCCTCCACAACCCCATGTCATCATGCTTCTTTCCAGTACAGAAAGTGACAGCAGAGATGGGCCAGCTACTTCCCTCTGCCGATGAGAACCTTATCCAGGTAGGGAACAATTGAATAAGCCTTACAAAATGTGCCCTTTTCCTGTTGTCATAGTGTGCTTTGGAGAGTAAATGCATACTTTGCATATTTTTTTTCTGCACCCATTAGCTTTGCATGCCTCAGGCAAGCGCTTCATTTGCCTTGCACATTTATGGCTCTCTCTGCTTTGCTTCGTGCACAGCTCTATATGCGGCTAGACAGACCTTGGACTGGGGCAATTGCTAGAAAAAACCCAGTACTCAATTCATCACCCTTCCAATAACTGTGAATGGCACAACAAACGTACACCCAATTTTTAAAATTACAAAAGGGGGCGGAGAATCTTGTTTTTATAGGGAATGTACAAGAGCGTATTTTTTAGAGGAACAGATAGGTATCTAACAGCACAATGAAATAAAATACAGGCATCATCCAAAACAGGAAGAGCGCACACACATACATAAATGGTCTCTTTTTAACTCCCTCCCCAAATGGGGACATGGTACAATATTGTATCCGTTTTGTTTTGAATAAGGAAAGGGGCAATTTGCACACCTACGACCCATATACCCTTCACAACTAATGCAGCACATGTACATTTTATACTCAGGCCTCTAGCTATACCTGCGGTCTGATGTCATAGGATTATCACTCAGGTCTGAGACACGATCACATCACTCTGGAGTTTTTAAAAAATTGCACAAGATGCAGTTCTTGCATGTTCCTTACTGTGGTTTCAGTCTTATAGGTGTTCCCTCCTATATAATCCTTTTTTTTTAGTCTTCACCGTATTTTTCTAACAGTTTTGTGGTAGACATGATAGAAGTTTTTGACCAACACAAGCACTGACACATTTATATTAAAAAATAGTGCAAAATTTCAACAATTATATAAATAACTCTAAACCCCTGCTTTTGTTTTTTTGTTTTTTTTGTTTCTCTCTGTTTTTTTTTTACAATGCAATACATGCTTTTTTGAGTTGGCTCTCAAAAATTGCCACTTTTTAAAATTCTAGTTCAGAAAAACACAACAAAACTTTTTTTTCTCCTCTCAATAGGCCTCTCCTAATATAAAAATACTCCTGGCTTTCCCAACACACATACCGTTTCTCTTATTTTTTTTAATATATATTTATATATATTGCAGATCTTTAAACAAACATTTTTGTGCAAATATTTTCGTCTTTAAAGTTAAGTGAAATAAACAAAACAAAAAAAGCCGTAGCATTCACGCACACCCACCCACACACACATACAACTCAACTAGAAATGAAAATAGACGGGAAAGGAAGAAATAAAAAGACTGCTGTCGATTTCTTTAAAAACAAAAACAAAAAGTCTAGACAGAGCTCAACAAAGAAATGTTTTTGCAAGTTTTGTTGGCTTGTGCATTCAGACCAAACATAACATGTAAATATTTATATTACACAGAGGTGGAGAAGGGTGCCAGGTTTTGTACACTGCTTCCCCGTCTCTCCATATCTTCCCCCCTTGCCCCATTCACAAGAAGTGCAGAGTGTTTCTTTCATTCATGTTTCTTCTCTCTCTCCCTCTTTTTTTTTTAAAAGGGGTGCCCTTTTTGTTTCTCTTTATCTTTGTTCCATGCCGTTGTGCTCTCAAGGCTATTGATTTGTGACGAAGGGTGCAGCCTGCCCCCCTCGAGTATCGAAGGCAGGCCACTGTTGTTCTGCTGGTGCTGGTAAAACGCTGAGCCAGGAAAATGACCTATGACCTCGCTGTACGTGGGAGGTGGTCCTTCCATTCTGCCATTGCTTCCATAGCATGTCGCACTGATGCCCGAGTTGCTGCTTGGAGGGCAGGGTCCCCCATATACTGAATTATCTATCAGGTCACTGTCGAAGATGGTTCGGTTGGGAGGGGCTCGCACCGACTCCCTGTTGAGTTCCATTTGTTGCTCTGGATCTCGGAGCTGCAACGTGCAGGGCCCCTGGTAAGGAGGGGGCTCTTCTCCGTCTGATAGGGAGATGGTAGGTGGCAGGTCAATTTCATGCTGCATGTATGGGTAGGTCGGCTGGAATCTGTTAAAGCGGTCCCTCTGCAGGAACGATGGAACGGCTAGTCTGTCCGTAGGTCTCGGTGTGTAGACTTGCTGCTGGAGACAAAGAGAGGAGAAACACATGACTCTTGGGTTCTGCATGCAAGCCAACAAGCTGTTCTTCAAGCTCTGTTTGGGCTCCGCTCCTTACCTCTGTTACACCATTTCCTGACACTGTGCTTTCTGAAGGCCACAAGCTTCCTTCCTAAAATTGGAAAGAACAAGAGAAGGAAATTAAAAAGGAAAAAAGAAAAAGAAAGCATAAAATATGGTGGCAGTGTACGGACCTGCTTCTTTGTAAACTTTTGTGGGTAAAAACCCACTTCTTCAGACATGTTTCCCCCCCTTATGACACTTTCACAGTCTTATACACACCCATTGGATTTCTTGACTCTCCCTAGAAGCATAACCTCCCCCCCCCAAGTTTAGGAACTAACAGCATGATCAGTGCTGAGCTAGATAAGCAGCGTAGGACACCTTCCAGGGGCCTGCCACAAAGTTGAGACCAGCAGATGATTAGTACTTTCCCTGGTGACATCTCACAACTTTTTCAACAGAGCAAGATTTGATGTGGTCCTTTCAGATCCATAGCTGACGTTCTCAGGTACTTTCATTATATTATTTTGCCTAATCTGAGAATCAATAAAACCTTTTGGTCTGCTTCAGTTTTAAGAACCTGGGCCCAACACCTGACCAGGAGGGAGGGGAGGGGAGGGCAGACCTACTGCTGCGAAGGGGAGAGCAAGCCAATTGCTATGAAAAACAACAGCGGGTTGCAGGGAAGGCCTCCTCCAATCCAGCTTTCAAGGAAGTGCTAAAAAGGCAAGTCTTTTTAGACAGCCATTTGTTGAATATATTTTGACTTGGATTCTTCCATTGAGCAGAGGGTTGGACTTGATAGCCTTGTAGGCCCCTTCCAATGCCTCTATTCTATGATTTTATGATTCTATGAGACAGATGCTTGGTTGCATGTAGCACATAAGATGAAGAACAATCAGTGGCTAATCATAAACCAGAAACAAATACGCTCAAATGTTGTCATGCTCTGATCAAGTGCTGTCTTCCTCTATCAGCCTTGGTAGAGGTCTCCTTTAAAAAAATCCAACCCCTTTTTTTAAGAAAAGCCCTTGGATATTTTGGTCTGCAGCATATTTATTTATTTATTTATTTATTTATTTATTTATTTATTTATTTATTTATTTATTAATTAAATTTATACCCTGCCCCTCTAGACCATGTCTACTCCACAGCATTCCAAAGTTTCGCCCAATAATTAATAAATAAATAAATAAATAAATAAATAAATAAATAAATAGCCACTATAAATAAATAAATAAATAAATAAATAAATAGCCACTACCAGACAGTGTCAATCACAATGTTCTAGACAAATCAAGGGTCTGGCTTATTAACAAAGCAGTTTCCCATGTACAGTGGTGCCTCGCAAGACAATGTTAATTCGTTCCATGAACATCACTGTTTTGCGAAAACATCGTCTTGTGAAATGCGGTTCCCCAATGGAATGCATTGAAATCCATTTAATGCATTCCAATGGGGAAAATACTCATCTTGCAAAAACCGGCCATAGGAAAACAGTTTTGCGAAGCGCAGATCAGCTGTCAAAATGGCTGCCTTGTGAAAATCGGTCCCTAAAAAAAACGTTCTTCAAGTCGTGGACCCAGCTGTCAGAATTGTCGCCTTTGAAAAACGGTCCCGGGGAAAAAGTCTTGTGAAGCACAGACCGAAACCACCGTCCATCAAAAATCACCCATAGGGAAAACCGTTTTGTGAAGCGCTATAGCGATCACAAAAACTCATCGTCTTGCAAATAAACCGTTTTGCGAGGTAATCGTCTAGCGAGGCACCACTGTACCTTTTTTGAGTCACACTGCTTTTATCCTCACAGCAGCTTTGTGAGGTAGATCAAGCTGAGTGAGACTGGCTGGCTTTCTGGATCTCCCTTTTCCCAGTCCAACATTCTAACCACTTTCACCGGGCCTTAACAACGTATCTAGACTACAGAATTATAGCAATTCAACTCCAGTTTAATTGCCTTGGCTCCATTCAGTGGAAACCTAGGATCTAGATTTCATTAAGATTCTTGGAATTCTCTGAGATAGTTCTCAGGCATTAGAGATCTCTGCTGAAGATTTCTAAGCATCTCACCAAAGTATAGACTCCAGAATTTCATAGGATGGAGATGACATCACATTGGAATATTATAAATTTGTAGTTCAGACACCCTCGTCAGTAACAAAGATTAAATGTCATACCAAGTGTTTGAGGTGTTCATTCAATGCTTTTCTCATTCCTAATTCAGAACCAATCAGTTGTTGATTTGAATGCTGGAAGTATATTCACAGAAAATAAATTCATTCCCACCCTCTCAATTTCCCTGTCTTTTCTGTTGTCTTGTTCATTGGATTCTAAATGAAAATCTACAAACCAGGAAATGCACATCTCTTAAGGTAGGCTTTTTCAAAACAATTCCCTCCAATCGCAAGAAAAGACTGGAATATTATCAAATATTTAAGCGGTCAATGTCCAGATCAATAAGTGTCTCTATCCTAATTTTGTCTTGTTTCAGCTTGCCACCTACCTCTCTTAAAAGGCTAAATGTTATAAAACCACTGCTTTTAAAAGTACATTCAAAATCTGGTACAAGATGTAACCTTTCAGAAGCTGTGGCCACAAGACTATCAAATTCAGCTTATATGAAATTGGGAAACTGTCCAGGTAGTCTAATACAGCCATATTTCAAAAGAATACATTTTGGAACCAGAAAGGATTCGTTAAAATGGAAGCTGTCAAATATAGTAAGGAGGCTGTAAATTCGTCAGGAACCTCAGCTCTAAAACAATAGGTAGCCAAGTGGTGGGTGGATAGCCATTTATAAATTTATCAGCCATGACAATTAAATGTGACTTCAGTGCTCAAAGGCTTCACAAAGCTACAAATGCTAAGTATGGGACAGAAAATAACTGATGACTCATTCTATCATGCCTTTTTCTATCAGTTTCCCAGGCCATTTTCACATAGCAGTAACCTACCAAGTTTCTGTTGAATGTAAAATCCTGCCAAAGTTGTACAAACTGCTTGCCATTGTGCAAGCAGAGGTTGCCTGTTTAGGCCCTATGAAATATTTGTTCAGCCAAGGGAGTCCTAAACAATTTCCAACATCCCTAGGCTGGGAGGGATTTAGACCAGCCTCAGCTGGCTTAGTACCAGTTCAGCCACCAAACCACAGCCATCTTAATGGTTAGAATTGCCCCCTTACATTTGTTTTAATGTGTTTCCATTTACCTTTATTTTAACTTTTTCTATTGAATTCAATGGACGCCTATCTTGTCTTCTGCTGCTTATAATTTTGGTATTTTCTAACCAAATCACATGAAGTTTGACACTTCCTCTAGGTCAGCAGTCCCCAACCTTTTTGAGGGAACGTGGACTGGTTGGGGGGTGCAGGCTCTGTGTGTGGGGAGGGCAGGGGCACCCTCATGTTTGCGGGCAGGCATGTTGCGCTTGCGCAGAGGGGTGTTGTGCTCGCGAGCGCAAGTGCGACACGCCCACCCACGAGCACGACACGCCCACCGTGTGTGCGTGCGGGGTCAGTGATCCATCTCCATGGCCCAGTTGTAGAAAGCCCACAGACCGGCATCAGGTCGTGGACCGGGGGTTGGGGACTCTGGCTCTAGGCCACTGAATCATATGAGTAATAATTCCAACATTCCTGTAAGGTGGAGAAGTATTATCATAAGGCTACAGTTTGATACGTATTATGCAGGAGAAAACTCCACAAAACTCAGTGGGGCTTTATTTCAAATAAACATGTACAGGCTTGCATCTGTTAACCATTACAAACGTCACTTAATAAAATACCATTTTTTTGCACCATAAGACGCACTTTTTCCCCTCCAAAATGTGGGTGGGGAAGTCAGTGCGTCTAATGGTGTGAATGCAGCAATTTCGTCGCTGCTGGCCCTGTGGGGGGGAGCGTCGCAAGGGTCCGGGTGAGCCTTCCAGGACCCTTGCGAGGCTCCCCCACCCCACGGGGCCAGCGCCGGCGAAATCGCCAGCTTCCAGGTAGGGGGAGCGTCGCAAGGGTCCTGGAAAGCTCACTCAGACCATTGTGACATTCCTCCCACCCCCGCACGGGGGCCCGCTCTGTTGCCCGGGGGAGGCAGGGTGAGTCTCCAAAGGGTCCTGGAACACACCCTAGGACTCTTTGGAGACTGACCCTGCCTCCCCTGGGGGCCAGAGGGGATGAAACCGCCACCTTTGGGGGCTCTTCTGAGGCTTGGGAAACTTCAGAAGAGCCCCAGAAGCTGGCGATTTCACCCCCTCTGGCCCCCGAGGGAGGCAGGGGGAGGCTCCAAAGGGTCCTGGAACACACCCTAGGACTCTTTGGAGACTGACCCTGCCTCCCCTGGGGGCCAGAGGGGATGAAACCGCCACCTTTGGGGGCTCTTCTGAGGCTTGGGAAACTTCAGAAGAGCCCCAGAAGCTGGCGATTTCACCCCCTCTGGCCCCCGAGGGAGGCAGGGGGAGGCTCCAAAGGGTCCTGGAACACACCCTAGGACCCTAGGGTGTGTTCCATAAGATGGACCTCTCCATAAGGCTCACCAAATTTTAGGAGAAGAAAGCAGATAATTTTTTTCCTGTGTTCTTCTCCTAAAAATTTGGTGCATCTTATGGAAAGGTGCGTCTTATGGAGCGAAAAATACCGTACCTCTAAATGTACTGAAGCCCTATACAGTACATGCCTACAGCCGTTAAGTACATGATGGGTAGGTCTTTGAATGCTGTGGTTTAGCTTGCCTGAAAGATAGTCAAAAGCACCCTGCATGGATCTGGCCAGCCCTTTATTTATTTATTTAAACATATATGGCTTACCCTATAACACTGGATCATCGGGCAAGTTACAAGACTATATGAAACAATTAAGAAACACAACATATGTAAAATAATTTAAAATCAAACAACACAAAATCAAAACAATCAAACATTAAAAGCATAGCACTAAAACCTGTGCAGGCCTCAATTCCCAACCCTCACAAGGCTCTAATGAATAAGTACTGTACATATTGATTTGGTGCCAAAATGATGCCAACATTGATGCCAAACGAGCTTCTAAGGGGAGGGCATTCCACAATTTCACAGTCCTGGCAGCTAATCCTAAATGGCTGTGTCCATGTAAAAGTGAAAGATGAGATCCATTACTCTGGAAACAGCAAATAGAATCAGCAAGCAATCCCACAGAGTGATGATGGCTAGGTAGCCCATTTGGAATTCCACTTGGCTGGGCTCAAAGTCCTACTTGATCGTAGGATACATGACTGGACAGAGAAGGGAATCACTATGAGACATACAAATGTTTATTTTTCATCACCCCCTTGGGCAGATTTGCTAAGTGGTGAGTATATCAGTACCTTATGTTCCCTGGTTTATATTTAATTTAGCAAAGGGCAATGCCATGGCATTATCCCATCTGCTGCTCAGATTCTTTGGGCTAATGTCAGGCAGAATACTGTGGTGTGCAGAAAGAAATGGACGGAGGCAGCTGGAGATTGCCATGCAATGGACAAACTGGTGATTTAGAACCTTTACCTTTTCCCTACCATTTCAAAGGGTCCTACGATTCCTTTGTCTTACAACACATCTGCATTGTTACTGTCACACTTGTTACCCTTATAACTGAAACAGCGCCGTCTACGTTGGCTTGGGCACGTCGTGAGAATGGCTGATGGTCGGAGTCCAAAGGATCTCCTGTATGGAGAATTAGTGCAGGGAAGCTGCCCCCGAGGGAGACGACAGCTCCGATACAAGGATATCTGCAAGCGGGATCTGAAGGCCTTAGGAATGGACCTCAACAGATGGGAAACCTTGACGTCTGAGCGTTCAGCCTGGAGGCAGGCAGTGCATCATGGCTTCTCCCAATTTGAAGAGACCCTTGTCCATCAGGCCGAGGCAAAGAGGCAGTCCCAAAACAAGCAAAACCAGGGAGCTGGACAGGGGACAGATTGTATTTGTCTTCAATGTGGAAGAGATTGTCACTCTCGAATTGGCCTTCTCAGCCACACAAAACACGGTACAAGACCTCCATACAGAGCATGTTACCATAGTCTCTCAAGACTGAAGAATGCCTACACACCCTTATAATTACAGAATTACATCAGGTTATATTTCTAAAGTACATCCCTCAATGTTTTTCTCCATTGAAGAAAAAAAAATCAAAACAATACTTCTTTGTCTCACTTGCTGTATGCTATTCCAGATGATCTAGTCAACTGAAAACTGAGGAATGGAGAGGCAGAAAAATGGCTCTTTACAGCCAATATTCCTGGTCATGATGCCCCTAAAACACTTGCAGTTCTTCATGGTAAGGCTTGACTTGTTTAGGTTTCTTTTTAATTATAATTAATTCATTACTAGCAACACATGCAGTATGTTAGGTCACCTTTATATAGAAAACAAAGTGTCAAATGCTTTATAAACATGCAAATAATAATAATAATAAAGAAATATAAATATAAAACTGTAACTTGTACAGATTAGTTATTGGGATTAGAATTGCTACCCTTTAATATAAATAGCACAACAGATTACTTTATAAAAAGTAACTTTCTAAGCTCTATATCCTAGCATCTGTCTGCTCAAGCTTTGGTACATTGGGGGGAAATCATATGTAACACAGAATGAAACACTAGTTTGCCGTAAAGAAAACTCTTGCATTAACTCATGGTTTTCTGACAAAGATACCTAAGTGACATATGGATTTGTCATCATCATACTTTACATACATATTTAGATTTCCACTTAAAGAAACCATGGGCACAGATCTAAATAAAAAGTAATGTGTGTGTGTTAGGGGGTAAGTGTAAGCAAGTGAATTGTGTCATTTCTAAAGTCCAAGTTGGAACAGGTCCACTTTTCTCTACACTGCTCAGATCTCGTTTGCAACCGTTCCAGTGACCGCTCTTCCCATTAGTGGAGGTTCAGAAAAGGGAGAATGCAAACTGACAGTGGGTTGGAAAGCATGTTCTTTCAAGAAAGGCTAGAGAAACTGGGCTCATTGATCAGAGAGAAGAATGAGAGGAAATAAAATTGCATTCTTAAATATGCATGGAGAATAGTTACTGTTTACCACCCTAAACAGACTGATCTTGTTGGGTCTTGGGAGCTAAGCAGGGTTGAGCCTGGTTAGTAACTAGACAAGGAAAACCAGGAATTTTGAGGGTTTGCTAGGAAAGCACTGGAGAGACATGGCTGCTGGTCAGAGCAGACAGTGCTGACGTAGATGCCCTAAGGGTCTGAATCTGTATAAGACAGTTCTTAGGTTCCTATAGAGGAGGGAGAAGTCTTGTACTTTGCTGTTGCTCAGGGCAGGAGCAGATCTAGGTTCCAGGAGAGTAGATTTCAGCTTCAGTTTAGTTAGGATAAATTTATTACCCAGTAACTAGTAACTCAGGGTTAGTGGGCTCTCCAGTAGAGGGCCCTTTTTTTAATTTCTTAAATGGAGCCTTGGGTACTTTTTAAGGAGAAAGGTCGGATAAAAATACAGCCAGCTACTGGGCATATTCTTGCTTTGGAAGCAAAGGTTTAACTAGATAGCTGGACATTTTCCAACGAAGAGCCTATGACAGGCCAAATAATTGATCAGCCCAAAGTGTACCCTTCATGTTAAACACTAGGGGGAGCTTTGATACTTTTTATAACTTTGCATCCTGTGCTATCCTGGATGATCTTATACACAGTGGGACCTTCCCTATGCTAGCTGGAGGATTCAGGTGGTGGTTGTTTGAAAAGGTAAGAAAGCCCTTCACCAGACCAGAAAGTTTCATAAGGACGAGGCTTTTCAGCTTTATAAACCAAAGCTGCATAATTGAAAGATCATATAATATGAATTTCTGAACTCATTATCTGTTCTGCTCTATTCCACACTGAATGGGGACTCCATATTTTGTGGAGTCGCCATCCTGACTTGTAGCATTCTGCTGTTTGTTTTACAATATTTTAAAAGTTAACTAACTTCTGAATAATAAGACATCCAAAGCGTTGCTTTAAAAAAAAACTGGTTACGATAACAATAACTACCTATTGTCTCAGAAGAGTTAGCCACGTTAGTCTGTGCTAGAATACTTATTGCCTGACATACTTATTGTCTTGCATCTCGGGACTATAACTGTTAACCAACAGTTCTGTTTATTTCCAAAAATGTATCTGGATCACACAAAAACAAAATCCAAACTAGCATGTTTGTGGATCTTTACCACAGCGGAGTACCACTGCCTCCTGGTTAAGCAACAATTGGTTTTTGAAAAACCTGTGGGATTCAACCTCCCCTCCAAAAAAATAATATTAAAAAAAACCCGAAGCAAAAACCTCAAAGACCTAACACAGAGGTATCTTCGACCAGCCATCTGGAAGGCAGTAGGAAGGTAATCTTCTAGAATCAGATACACCTCCAGTAATTACCACATACAACAAGAAACCAGGCACTGTATTGAATGAGTGAAGGAGCCCATTTGGGAACACCTGTATGTCACACATACTACCAGCATTACTTCCTTCAGCACTGTGGGCTATTGGTTTGTGGAAATTGAGTAATTTGGTTTATTCGGCTGTAGCATATTTAAAATAGGGTGGTTACAGATCCTGAACAAACACTGTTAGACAGGAAGGCAACACAGATGTATCACATTCCATTTATGTAATTGTTACATTCCCTTATGTAATAGTGATGGACAACATGGGAGAGGGAGGCCTCGCCAATGATACCTCTCTTGGAACTCTTTTACTCCAGGATCTGTACCTTTAAGAAATATCCATGGAATTTTCCGGGGCAGAAAAAAACTGCACAGTTCCTGTGCACAGCCCACAAGACCAGAACACAGCTTACTTATTTGTGTACCTTACATTAAGTAAACAAACAACATTTAGGGGCGGAGCATGTCTGTGCTATTCTCCCCCTTTCTTGGCCTTCTGGTAGCCTTTCATTTTAGAAAATCTTTGTTGTTTTGACAACTTAATGGCTCGACACCCACTGCTTTTTATCTAACAAGATTCTGCCTATTTGTTGTTTTTGTTTAATTTTAAGTTATCATAACACTGGGTAGCACTTTTCAATTGTTATTTAACACACCATATTATTGTTTTGGTTGCTATGGATTTTGTTATGCATTTTGAACCTCTTATACAAAAAAGTACTGAATAATAATTGTGAGCCATCAAGTCAGTTCTGATTTATGACTACCCTTTTTCTGAGTATTCAGAAGTAGCTTTCCATTCTGGTGGCATTCTAGGACTGCGCAGCTTGCCCAAGGCTATACAGGCTGGTTCTTCTGAGATTAACAGCAATTAATAGCAATTCACCACCCATTTGCTGCTACATGAGTCAGGTGTCTCATCATATTTTACAGAAAGGCTAACAGCTTTATACTGATGTTGCGATGCCAGTGCTACAAACTGGCCACCCATGTTTTACATTTGTGGAGAACAGAGGACATCTATTTATACCTATTTATGAATGGACCATTCCCAACGAGAAGGAGAAGGGTAGAAAAACCATCTTTTTAAAAAGTCTCACCACATTCCATCCAGAACCTGGTTCAGCTGGCAGTCAACAGATACACCATAAACAATGTGGACTGAATGAGGGAGCAGGAAAGAGTTTGAGGGTGGCAGAGCCTCCTTACCGATGATAGGTTTTCCTCTCTCCTCCGTCCTTGGCTGTGCCGACTGATGAAGGAACGCGCAGAGAGTTTGTAGTGATTCAGCAGACACGTGATAACAACCACCATAACCATCATTACCACCACGATTATGATTATCTGTACAAACTCCAACTCCGCTAAAAGAGAGAGACAGAAGGCCACACATTTAGAGAAATACTTACATAAAAAGGCCCCACATAAACAAAACATTATTATAGTACGCTGGGTTGAGGGGTGGATACCAATGTACAATTGGTACAGTATCTGCCCCTGCTTTCCAAACTCTATGTGCTGCAAACCCACAAAGCAGCGTTCTTCCAACGGGCACCATCAAAATGTTTTGGATGACATATTCCAGCATTTCTGAGCAGTGGTTCTGATGGAAGTTGAAATCCAACACATCTGGCAGGCACCAAGTTAGAGACAAAGGACTTCAAGGAAAGCAGATGAGAATGGTATACGTATATAATGTCAACCATTGAAGGGCCATGAATGAGCAGAATCCTCTATGTTTTTAAAGTTTTTATTTTCTTCTTGAATGTTTTAAATCTCTTTCTGAAAGTTTTCGATCTCTTTTTGAACATTTCAGTGTGTTTTGAATGTTTTTAGCCTGTTTATAACTATTTCAATTTTACTGTAAATCTCCTCGAGAGTCTTGGTGGCCAGAAAGATGATTAACAAATGTCTTTGACTAACAAAAGCCTTCTGCAGCCAAGAGCTGATGGCCATCTAGTAAAGCTAAGTTGACTATAGCCGTACAGACACCATAGACTTTACATAAGATGCAAAAAGCATGGTGTCAGTCCAGTCCGGTGGTTCCCAACCTTGGGCCCCCATAGGTTCTTGGATTACAACTCTCCAAAATCCTGGCTATAGCACAGCTAGTGGTGAAGGCTTCTGGGAGTTTTAGTCTAAGAAAATCACAAAGACTGGGAACCACTGGTCTAGTAGGTGGTTTTGTTTACAGCCCTGGCAGACACTCAAGGCTCCGTGAGCCAATAGGAGTTGTACAGCCAAACCAGATTGCATAGCTTTGTGATGACTGTAGTCAGCAATGTAAAATAACAAAAACATCCCCCCCGCCCAAAAAAACACATACTCTGTATTGTCTAAATTCATCATAAGCAAGGCTTTGAAGAGGGTTTGCTCCTTTGGATTGTGTGTGCGAAAGGTATTGAAAGTCTCACATTAGGTTATGACATAGTATAAGACAGGCATTGGTGCTTAGGTTGCACTGACAGACATACATCACTTTTCTGTTCTGTCTGAAACAGGAGACAAATTAAGGCAGGGCAGGAAAAGGTTGTCTCTGTGGGCAATCATCTGTGGTGTCATTTAGTCCACAGCTGAACGAGTAGGAAATAAAATTGGGATTGGTTTGGGAAAGACCTTTATTGAACCACTAAAACATTCCAAAGAAGGTGAGATTGCATGTCACCAGGTCTCTTTCTATCAGGCTGGACATCAAGGAGGGGGGGGGGGATACACAAACAGTCTTCATTTCTGAATGTTAGTTGAACTTCAGATCCTGCAGTTCCAACATCTAGCCAGGATGATTTGGAGATGTCTGCTGTTTCTCTCCCATTACTAATGTTCTGGAGACCCCAAATTGATGAAAAGTCCAGAGGATTCAAAAGCTCACCTTCCACAAATTAATTAGTAGTCCAATAATGAAATTACAGAATTCTGATTTTGGGTTTCGCTCATGGACTTTTCTTTCTTTCTTTCTTTCTTTCTTTCTTTCTTTCTTTCTTTCTTTCTTTCTTTCTTTCTTTCTTTCTTTCTTTCTTTCTTTCTTTCTTTCTTTCTTTCAGTAAGGAACAGAACTTAATGCTGTGCTAGCTACTTTATCTCTAACAGCAACAGAATAAGCTCTTTTTTTAATTTAATTTTTTTCTTTCACGAAAGAAAAAGGCATACACAAAAACTAGTTTTACGGAGCACTGCAATATATCCACTAACTCAACGTAACTCAACTCTGTGCAGCTTACCCCCACAGGACTAGTTTCATGTTCTTCATTCTTATATTTCAAATCACCCCATTTCTCCCCATTAATACACTGAGACTCTTATCCTGGTGTATACCCCTTCCCTTTCTGAAATACATGTACCAAAACCAAATTCCATGTTTCTTTAAAATCATTACATTTCCTCATTCCTCTTCTAATTTTAATTTAATAGGTTAATTTAGCATTAATTGCTATATTCCACATTTCTCTGTACCACTCCTCCATACTAATTTGATTACAACAGATTAAGAACTAAAGCCTTTTGAGTTGATTCATCAACAACAGTGTCCATGTCAGATCCCAGCACTGTTGGGTATTTGACAAGGGTCCTCTCCCAGTACAGGGGGCACACTCCTGCCCTTTGCCCCCCCCAGCCCCACCCCCAAAAAACCCTTCTGGTACTGTGGTTGCTACTCTCTGCTTCAACTGCATGTTCTCCAAGCAAGCAGGCAAATGTGAAGGACCAAGAAGAGTCAAGGCAGGGAGCAGAACCTTTTAACCTGGTAGGGTGGATTAAGTATGTGAAAGCAATGCAGTGACAGCAATTAAGGAGGTGGTGGACAGAAAAGCCACTGAGGATGCCATGTCCAGCAATTCCCCAAAATATGGTGCCACCATTGACTATCTGCCCTTGCTCTGACTGATTGAATTTAATGAATTTGGTTACCACTGCAGTACAAGAGATTCTATCACAGAATAACTCACACTTCTTTGTAACATCTCCCTCATTCTTACCACTACTGTCAGCTTGGGAAAGTTGTTTGCTTGGACCAGTGTACCCATCCTGAACACACTGATCTTGTGTGGTTCCAGAGGCTAAACAGTCTCAGGTCTGGTTAGCACATACATGGATGTCTACTAGGGTAATACCAGGCATCTCCAAGCATAAATAAAATAAATAGCCAGGAAAGAATTGAAACTGAAACTCTGGAGAGTTGCAGCTAACAGAGTTGACAGTCCTAGACCAACTGTCTGACTCAGTATAGAGAAAGTTCCTGCAAAAGTTGCATGCTATCAGAACCTAAATATAGGTCCTTACTGGTGTTGGTGGTTAGGGCTTAGATAAGCTCCCCCCCTTCTAAACTAAAATTCCCAGGGCTACATCTAGTTGTTAGTCTCAGCTAGAGCAGACACAGCGTATCAATGCAACTTACATACAGTGGGGTCTTGACTTGAGAACTTAATCCATATTGGAAGGCGGTTCTCAAGTCAAAAAGTCGGTAAGTCAAGTCTCTATTGACCTACAGTGCATTGAAAACCGATTAATCCCGTAACAGGCCATTTTTGTTCCATTTTGGTTTTTTTCTGGTCTGTAAGTCAAATCTCAGTCTGCAAGTCAAACCTAAATTTTGCGGCCAGAGAAGTCTGTAACTCAAAAAGTCTGTAAGTCAAGCCGTCTGTAAGTCAAGGGTCCACTGTATGTGTTGACCTCCAGTTGATTCAATTAGAGAGACAAGCAATTGGATTTAAGCTCCAAGACAACCTACCACCAGTAACAGCATGGCTGTGGGATTCCGAGACCTATAGTCCAGGGAAATAACTTTTCCAAGTTGGCTGGAGTAACTGGGGGATATTATCAGAAGGAAAGCGAGATACTCTCTCTTTCAGGAAACAGAAGTTCATTGCTAGCAGGAAAGCTCACCTTTGCTTTTTTATTTTCCATCCTTTCTCAAAGTCACACTTCAGAACAAAAAAAGCTTAAAATGTAGTAGCAACAGCGGCGACAACAACAACAACAGGTGTGCCTTGAGCTGCTTAAAGTTTATCCTTGTTAATGTCTCACATGATTTTAGGGATTCATTTGACAACTACCTCCCAAGAACTTTGGAAACCCTTCCCCAAGCCACGTGACCTCCTTCCAGACTTCCTCTGCAACGCTCTCATGTACAACGAACAAATTCACTAAAATGAAGATGCACAGCGGACAATGACAGCAGCAACCTCGTCAACAACAACACAGTTCCTGCCTTTCTGTGGAAAAAAAGTGCAGGCTTTTCTTAACCTAGGCTGGTTCCAAGCCATTCCCAGTGGCATCCACATACCAGACTTCCAGACGTAATTCAATTCAGTGCTCAGTGCAGCCAGCTGGCAGTGGCAGCTTGAATGGCTTGAGCTGGCACAAAAGTGTGTTGTGAAAAAAAAATGGGGCGGGGGAGAAAGGAAGAAATGTAACCCCAAGCCGCCAAGCAAACAAGAACAAGCAACAACAGGCTACTAGTTAAACTTTAGCTGAGTTTGAGCAGGGGCGGGGCGGGGAGGGGGGAGGCATTTGGTAAGAGTAAGTCCAGAAGCTTGAGAACACAGTTCTCCATGCTTTCCTTGGACGGGGAGGTGGGGGGTGGTGGTTTTAGAGGGGCAGAATTTGATCCTGGAGACACAACACAGCCATTTGAGAGATAATTCCCAGGCAGTTTTAGCCCAGGGAGGATGTATTCTCCAAGCAGCACAAATGATAGTGGGGCACAGTGCTCTGTCTTGTCTCTGAGCCAAGAGATTAATGCTGTAAAACACACAGATGCTCACCTGTGCTTGAGGCAGAAAGAAGAAATAGGTCTTTCCTTCATGTGCTAGATGCGCCAGACTCAGGAATTTTTGTGTGTGTGTGTGTGTGTGTGTGTGTGTGTGTGTGTGTGTGTGTGTGTGTGTGTGTGTGTGTGTGTGTGTGTGTGTGTGTGTGTGTGTGTGTGTGTGTGTGAGAGAGAGAGAGAA